ATGATTGTCTGTTAGTAGCGCCTTTACAGCGGTAATCAATCTGCCAAGAATTCACAAAAGAGGCAGCAGTATGTTCCAATATTCCCATACTACTTCTGAAGTCATCCTTTGGATCACCATTGAAATTACCACACAGTCCTGCAACAGAACAAGCACTGTGTGTTATAACTGAAAGATATTATACATTTACATGTTTGGTAGTACACAAGTAATGCTGAAAAAAGATACGTTTTGTCAAATGAAGGTCTTTCTTTCATTGCCCACTTGTCTCCACAGATGCCACAAATCCTAGTCAAGGTGTATTATTTTTTGTAGGTTCCAATATATGCAAGTATGAGTCTGACTGACAGTGGTTGTCATTGTAATTCTTCACATACTCAGGATTATCCAGCAAGTGTGGAACCTATAGACCAAAAAAAACATGGACACTACACCTGTTTCAAAATAGGTGACATCCATACTCGGGTTAATTTCTCAAGTAATGCCTGAGCAATCATAATCAATCTGTCTGGTTTAAAATTAAACAAAGCATGGTGGTTAACTGTCAATCATCACTAATGATGCATTTTCCATGGCAATGCCTCTATGAATCAAAATTCACTGCCAACTAATCGGTACTCTCCTCTCATGTAGTATAAATGCTAGTTTTTGTCTTGACTTGGCACTTTTGTGATTGTCTGGATGAATGCAAGATAAAAAGCTTTGTGACTTATAGGCAACAATCACAAAGCAACACTTTGCCTGTACACTTTAAATACCAAGCACCATGACTTTTGCAGCACCAACGAGGTTTGGGCACTTTGAGTGCTTTGTCTGCAGACTCGGTATCACATCTAGGGTTCCTCTTCCTTTCCTTGTGACCTGCCTTTTCATCTTATTTGTCTGTTCCACTTTGGCTGTTGATGGGTCAAAATGTCTCTTAGGACTGTCTGAATAACTTTCAAATCTTTACCTATCTACTGGAATATTTCTCTTTAATTGCACATATTCCTTTAAATTTGACCAACAGACAAAATTGCAATGTATGAATTAGTTTGTATTTAAAAACTCCCAAACTAAGTTTGAAGTTAAAGACTGGGGGTGAGCAAGTTTCATGGTATTATTTTTGTCCTAGCCTGGGCAAGTTATCATTTGCTTCTGACCGCATTATGCAAGCAAGATGTTAAGCACCCAACTTCGTACATTCACGACTAAATGTGTCTTTTTTTAAGCAATGTTGTACTTTGCTAAATCTGATACAATGTGGTAGGCTGGAAAACTGAGATGGAAATATAAAACAAATGTTCTGTTAATCATATAGAGCACCAAATTCTGATTCAATGACTTTCAACAATCAGGTCATTGGATGATCATGATCAGCATGTGGTTATATGAAAGAATACGGGAACAGCAATAGATCATTTAGCTCCTCAAACTGCTTTGTCATTTTGTTTGCTATGCTCGCTTAGTTTCTCTAATTCCAAGCTTTCTGCAAATTCCTTCATATATCCTTTGCTTTCTGTGTAATTGTCAGTTGCTTTTCTAAACACCCTCAATTAATTGTGTGTCTTTGGATTTCTGGGTAGGTGCATTCCACACCTCTCACTGTTTCCTGGATTCACTGTAAACTTGCTCAATTCTAATCCTAAAATTCTTGTTCTAGTTTCTCTTCACTATTTTAAACACTCAATTGCTTACTTTTATATGGTTCATACCTAGAAAACTGAAATCTGTACTAGGCCAACATGTCCTTCCTAGGTGGGGGTTCCCTCAACAAATAACATTGATTATCATGTTTTGCATTTGCTTAATCTATTAATGTAGTGATTATAACAAGGTCAGCCAGCTGGACCTCATAGAATATGAATTTCCTGACTGGAGCTTTTAATCTGATCCAATTAGGAAACTGTGGCTGACATAAGAATGGTGAGTGTCAGAGATACTGACACTCTGGTGCCAGACTTGGTATGAGGCAGTACCATAATTGAGGACTGTTCATAGAACATAGAACAGTACAGCACAGTACGGGCCCTTCGGCCCACAATGTTGTGCCGAACTTTTACCCGAAACCTAAGGTCTATCGAAACACCACCCCTACCTTATACTATCATCCATGTGCCTATCTAACAGCTGCTTAAATGCCCCTAATGAGGCCGACTCCACTACCCTCTCCGGCAATGCATTCCACGCCCCTACCACTCTCTGAGTAAAGAACCGACCTCTGATGTCTCCCCTATATCTACCTCCACTCACTTTAAAACTATGTCCCCTCATAGTAGCTACCTCCACCCTAGGAAAAGGTCTTTGGCTGCCCACTCTATCAACACCTCTGATCATCTTGTACACCTCTATCAAGTCACCTCTCATCCTTCATCATTCTAAAGAGAAAAGCCCTAGCTCTCTCAATCTTTCCTCATAAGACCTTCCCTCCATTCCGGGCAACATCCTGGTAAATCTCCTCTGCATCTTTTCCAACGATTCCACATCTTTCCTGTAATGAGGCGACCAGAACTGGACACAATACTCCAGATGTGACCGAACCAGGGTTTTGTATAGCTGAGCATAACTTCACAGCTCTTGAACTCAATCCCTCTATTAATGAAAGCTAATACACCATATGCCTTCTTAACAACTCTATCCACCTGGGTGGCAGCTTTCAAGGAACTGTGGTCATGAACCCCGAGATCTCTCTGCTCCTCCACACTGCCAAGAATCTTTCCGTTAACCCTGTATTCTGCTTTCAAATTTTTCCTTTGAAAATGAATCACCTCACACTTTTCAGGGTTAAACTGCATCTGCCACTTCTCAGCCCAGCTCGGCATCCTATCAATGTCCCTTTGTAACCTAGAACAGCCCTCTGCACTATCCACAACTCGACCCACCTTCGTATTGTCCGTGAACTTACTAATCCACCCTTCCACTCCTACATCCAAATCATTTACAAAAATCACAAATAGAAGAGGACCCAGAACAGATCCTTGTGGTACACCATTCGTAACTGAGCACCATGTTGAATTTTTTCCGTCCCTTTGTCTTCTAAGGGTCAGCCAATTCTGAATCTAATCTGCCACATTTCCTCCTATCCCATGCCTCCTTACTTTCTGCATGAGCCTACCATGGGGAACCTTATCAAATGCCTTACTTAAATCCATGTATACTACATCCACTACTCTACCTTCATCCACGTGTTTGGTCACCTCCTCAAAGAATTCAATAGGGTTTGTGAGGCATGATCTATCCCTCACAAATCCATGCTGACTATCACGAATCAAACTGTGCCTAGCCAAGTGATCATAAATCCTATCTCTCAGAGCCCTTTTCAATAATTTGCCCACCACTGAAGTAAGACTAAATGGCCTGTAATTTCCAGGGTTATCCCTATTCCCTTTTTTGAACAAGGGATGACGTTTGCCACTCTCCAATCTTCTGGCATTATACCTGTGGACAGTGATGATGAAAAGATCATCGCCAAAGGCCCTGCGATCTCTTCCCTCGTTTCCCATAGAATCCTTGGATAAATCCCATCAGGCCCGGAGGACTTATCTATCTTCAAGTTCCTCAAATTTCCCAGTACATCTTCCTTACTAACATCCACCTCCTCTAGCCTACCAGCCTGTTTCACACTGTCCTCCCCTACAACTAGGTCCCTCTCAGTTGTGAATACTGAAGAAAAGTATTCATTAAAGACCTCTCCTATCTCTTTAGGCTCCGTACACAAATTCCCTTTACAATCCTTGATCGGCCCTACCCTTTCTCTGGTCATTCTCTTATTCCTCACATACGTGTTGAAAGCTTTGGGGTTTTCCTTGATCCTATCTGCCAAATTTTTCTCATGCTCCCTTATAGCTCTTCTAAGCCCTTTCTTCAGCTCTTTCCTGGTTAACTTGTATCCCTCTAGAGCCTTTTCTGATCCTTGTTTCCTAAACCTTATATAAGCATCCTTCTTCCTCTTAACTAGTCGTTCGACCTCTCTTGAGAACCAAGGCTCCCTCACTTGACCGCATCTTCCCTGCCTGCTAGGGACAAACATATTGAGCACACGCAGTATGCATTCCTTAAACAATCTCCACATTTCTATAGTGCTCTTCCCTGACAGCATCTGTTCCCATTTTATGTTACCCAGTTCTTGCCTAACAGAATTATAATTACCCTTCCCCCAATTATAAACCTTATCCTGCTGTATGTACCTATCTTTCTCCATGACTATTGTAAAAGTAACAGAGTTATGATTGCTACCGCCAAAATGCTCTCCTACCAACAGGTCTGACACTTGGCCTGGTTCATTGCCAAGCACCAAATCCAAAGTGGCCTCTCCTCGTGTTGGTCTATCTGCATTCTGTGTCAGGAATCCTTCCTGAACGCACTGGACAAAATACGCTCCATCTAAGCTATTAGAACTAAAAAGTTTCCAATCAATATATGGAAAGTTGAAGTCACCCATGACTACAACCCTGTGACTTCTGCACCTTTCCAGTATCTGCCTCCCAATCAGCTCCACCACCTCTCTGCATCTATTAGGGGGTCTGTAAAAAAACCCCAACAAAGTGACTGCTCCTTTCTTGTTCCGGACCTCAACCCAAACTGACTTATGTGTAAACAAAGGGTGAATTGGTGACAAGATACCAGCTTCTGTGGAGTTATTTCAATTAACATTTGCAATTTGCTATACTCTTCTTCACAATTTACTATGAAGCAGATAGTGTGATCTTCAAGTTCTGGACAGTTCCAGTTGTGTTTCCAGCTGATCCAGCACTGAAGTGAGGACAATGTAAATATTCAGCCCATAATTACCTGCAGTTTCCACTTGGGACGACCGCTGACAGCGCATCCCACAGTTGAGGATTTCAGATCCCTTTAATCCATACAAACCAGAAGCTCACCTAATGACTGTTGATCAAGGATGTAAATCCTGTGTCTTTGTGTGTCCGTGTGTGTGTGCGTGCGCATATGTGTGCACAGATATATCTCTAGTTTTAAAAAAAATTATTTTATATTGTTTTTAACAGTGCTTAAACTCTTACCAGTACTGGTGCCGAAGAAATCATTTCCGATATTAACGTATGCCTGAAAAACTGGGCCAACCTGGATCTGCATCTCGAGACCGGACAGAGTGCTCACCTGAATGTAGATTGACGACTGCCTGTAAATCGAAATGTTTCCTAAAAGACAGCAGAATAATTCTAAAGTTAATTGCCATAGCTGTTAACCATAGAAGTTGAATCTATTGTCTGCTATAAAAAACAGCAATGCTGTGGATACACAGGGGTCATAATGATTTTATCACTCTTCACTCACCTGGAAGAGTAGGGAAATTATCTAGTGATATTTCTAAAGTTTCTACTCTGTTATTGCAAGGTTTGTGTGAGGAATTAGGGTGGTACAGTGATTCAGTGGCTAGCATCGCTGCCTCATAGCGCCAGGGACCCAGGTTCAATTCTAACCTCAGGTGACTGTCTGTGTGCAGTTTGCATATTCTCCCTATGTCTGCGTGGGTTTCCTCCCATAGTCAAAAGATGTGCGGGTCAGGTGGATTGACCATGGGAAATGAAAGATTGCAGGGATAGGGTAGGGGGATGGGTCTGGGTGGGATGGCTCTTCAGAGTTTGTTTATAATGCAACGGGCTGAATGGCCTGCCTCTGTGCTGTGGGGATTCTATGAATTAAAACAGATATAAATAATATTTATATTTAAACAGAGGTAGGACATGTAAGATAAAAACAAATGCTGGAAATTAAGATAACAAGGTGTACAGCTAGATGAACACAGCAGGCCAGGTAGCATCAGAGGAGCAGGAAAGCTGATGTTTCGGGTCTGGACCCTTCTTCAGAAACATTAGCTTTCCTGCTTTTCTGATGCTGCCTGACCTGCTGTATTCATCCAGCTGTACACCTTGTTATCTCAGACTCCAGCATCGGCAGTTCCTAATATCTCTGCTGGAAATTAATATCAGTTTGACAGTGTCTCAGGAGAGAACTTGACCTGAAACATTGATTCTATCCATAGATGCTGCCTGGTTTGCCAAGCTCTTCCAGTATTTTCTGTTTAAATTCTGTATTTAACGTCCTACTTATAAAAGAGATTGCATGGGGAATAGTGGAAAAGAGAGAGAGAGATAATGATTAGTTCACAGGATCCAATTAATGATTTTGAACAGGTTAGCCTCACACAGGTAATAAACCTGAGTAGCTCAACATTTTGCATCAGTGTATTTCACAGCACATGACATATCCCCTATTCTGTACTAAGAGGTAGGTAATTGGTAAAGGATAAATGTGAAGATTAATTATATTTCTCATGGATAAAATGTTAATCATCACGCAACATTTTTCATAATATAGTATCAAGAAGGTATTAGTGTTTACTATTGTATTATAATAGGGTAGGAGTAGGGATACTCAAAAACAAAACTCTGAAGAATGGAAAGTCTGGGAGATTCAAGGTGTTGCGGTTGTGATCCTGCATCCACTGCTATTTATGGAAGAGAGTTTCAAACATCTAGCACCCTTTGTGTGTCAAAATACTTCCTAACATCTCTCCTGAATGGTCTAGCCCTAATTCTCAGACTATGCTCTTTAGTTTTAGAATTCCCAGCCAGACAAAATAATTTAGAGTCATAGAATTTCAGCAGTGCAGAAAGAGACCATTCAGCCCATTCAGTATACAATGATCCTCCAAAAAGCATCCCAACCAGACCCACCCCCTACCCTATCCCCATAATCCTACATTTCCCATAGCTAATCCACCTAGCCTGCATATCCCTGAATACTATGGGCAATTTAGCATGGTCAATCTACCTTACCTGCACATTTTTGGTCTGTGGGAGAAACCTGGAGCACCCAGAGGAAACCCACACAGACACGGAGAGACACATTCAAACTCCACACAGACGATCGCCTAAGGCTGGAATCAAACCTAGGTCCCTGGCGCAGAAGCAGCAGTGCTAACCACTGTGCCACCAGGTCGCTTATCTTTATCTATCCTGTCTTTAATATTTTGACCACTTCGATTAGAACATCCTTAACCTTCTAAATTCTAGAGAAAACAGGCCTAATTTGTATAATCTCTCCTCATAAAGAGTTGAGTGAGTCCTTGAAGTCCAGGTATCATTCTTGCAAATCTATCTTGTACTCTATCTTTCAGGCCAATATATCCTTCCTAAGGTGTTGGATCCAGATCTACTCAAAATACTACAAATGTGGTCCAACCAGGTTTTTGTAAATTTTAGTGTAACTTCTGTATCCTTGTAATCTAGTCCTCTAGATGTAAAGACCAGCATTCCAATAGCTTTGATTGTTTTTTGCACATGACATGACATTTTAAAGATCTATGCAACTAAACCCCCAGTCTCTTTAGACATCCGTTGCTTTTAACTTTATACCACCTAGAAAGCACCTTGATCTACCCATTTTTTGGTCCAAAATGGATAACCTCACACTTGCTTACATTGAACTCCATCTGCCACAGTTTTGCCTATTCACTTAGTCAAAGGTGACCTATAGGCAACAATCACAAAGCAAACCTTCTCCTGTGCATTTAACAAAGCACCATGACTTAGGTAGCACCAACAAGGTTTGGGCACTTTGAATGCTTTGTCAGCAGACTCAGTATCAAATCTACGGTTCCTCTTCCTTTCTTTCTGACCTGCCTTTTCATCTTATGTTGCCTGTTCAACTTTGGCTATTGATAGGTCAAAATATCTCTTAGGGCTGTCCGAATAACTTTCAAATCTTTATCTATCTACTGGAGCATTTCTCTTTAAATATCCCTTTAAATTTGGCAAATAGACAAAATTGCAATTTGTGAATTACATTTTGTTTAAAAACTCTCAAACTAAGTTTGAAATTAAAGACTGGGGGTGAGCAAGTTTCATGGTATTATTTTTGTCATAGCCTGGGGCAAGTTATCACATGCTTCTGACCTCATTATGCAAGCAAGATGTTAAGCACATAACTCTGTACATTCCCTGGCAAGTGAGATACAGATTCTTGACACTGCCTGCAACTACCAGCTTCGAAGGTACCATATTTAGAATCCAGCTTTTGCTGCAATCCAGGAACTATCCCTCACAACCGTCGTACTTGCCTTTTAAGTCTAACCAGATGGCATAGAAGGAAACTAAGCTTGCTCCCTGCATCATGGAGAAAGATCAAGGTGTTAGTGGACTGGTCAGCGGAGAGAAGGTCAGTCCTCTTTCTCGCTGACTGCAATGAGTCCACCCTACCGTACGCAGCCAGCCTGTGCAGAGATAATATCACAGGTCAGTGCTGTTTCCACTGTAAAAAGGGAGAGCCAGTAATGTTGCAAGTGAATCAATGATCTCCTGTACTCTGCAAGGGTAAGTGGCATCATCTTTTCTCTGCTCCCTCACACTCATAGAGCCACAATCTAACTCTGCCATTGAAAACACATCTCACAAAGTCTTATAGCATGAGCATCAACTCCTTCTCTATCCTACTAACCCTTATTGCCCTCTACACTTCTCAGTGACTCACTGGTGACACCTCCCCACTTCTCAGGTTCATTTACAATCACTAACTTTATCATAATTTATCTTCTCTTTGCGACATTGCAGGAAATATTGCCCTGCCAACAGGCCAGAATGTCATAGGACATAGGAGGAGTATGGCAGACATCAGGCTCCTCACTGCCAGTGAGGAGAAGGTAGTGGGAAGATAGGGAGAAGACTGGGACCATTGTGAATGAGTGGTGAGATAAGAATGGGCAGCCAACAAGTTCCACTTGCTATCCTCCCCTTTGATTAATCCAGCTCTAAATTATTCTTGCTCTGCACTAACTTTTATCCATCTTCTACACTAATTCCCTTTCTTCTATTATGCAGGTACTAATCATAGAATCCCTACAGTGTGGAAACAGGCCCTTTGGCCCAACAAGTTCACACCAACCCTCGGGGCATCTCACCCAGACCCATCCCCCTATAACCCAGCTAATCTACACATCCCTGAATACTACGGGCAATTTAGCATGGCCAATCCACCTAGCCTGCACATCTTTGGACTGTGGGAGGAAACCCACGCAGACACGGGGAGAATGTGCCAACTCCACACCGACAGTCACCCGAGGGTGGAATCGAACCTGGGTCCCTGGTGCTATGAGGCAGCAGTGCTAACCACTGAGCCACCATGCCGCCCCTTAATGGCACCAAGAAACTTCTGAAAGAAAGAAGCCACGTTCTGAACCTCTCAGCAACATCAGAGGAGGAAGTCTGTGAGCCCTCAGAGGATGAACCAGGGTGTGCACCTATACCTTCCACTAACACAGAGACTTTCACCTCAGGGGGCACCCTCAGCTTCACTAGACTCAGAGACATGATCTGGTGAGCCCAACACTTACACATCTCCAAACCCACTAGAGGAAGAAACACTTGAGGTCCCTGGTACTCAGAAGATTGCTGGAGGCTAGGTATCTACTCAGTCCCATGATGAAGACATACTTTTGTTCGAGGTCATAAGTGACTTGCTCAACTGCAGCACCAAGTGCATAACAGGCACATGTGCCAGTGGCCCTCAGTATGCTGCAATGAAAGATAGAGGAGTCTTTGACATTCTCAGTGCTGTGGTGGCTCCTATGTGCGCGTACCTGACTATGTCCAGGGAAAGGGTGGCAACTGTCTAGGACATCAGGTCCAGCAGAAAGCTCAGTGGCTGCTGGTTATGGTCTCAGACCCGGGCTCCATTGCTGTAGCCATTTATGATAAGCATCAATGAAAAGGCAACAGGAGATGAGAGACATTGACCTCACTCCTGCTGCCCTTTCTTTTCAAAGAGATAGGATGGTGTCCACAGGTTGGTTGACTGATTGATTGATTTATTTATTGTCACGTGTACCGAAATATAGTGAAAAACTTTGTTTATAAGCAGTACAGACAGATCATAGTAAGCAAAGGATGCACGACCAAAAAGACTTATACAGGTTACATTGCACTGGATGTGCGCTAGGCGAGATCAATGTTAGCAAGATCTGTGTTATTTGAGGCTAGAGAGTCCCACAGAGGGGGTGAGCAACACACAGTCACTTCAGAAACTTCTCTACATCACACTCCAGAAGTGCCTCATACATACAATCCCTACAGTGTGGAAACAGGCCCTTTGGCCCAACAAGTACAAACTAACCCTCAGAGAATCCCACCCAGACTCATCTCCCCTAATCAAGGCATCCCTGGACACTAAAGCATAGCCAATCCACCTAACCTGTACATCTCTGAACTGTGGGAGGAAACCGGAGCACCCAGAGGAAACCCATGCGGACACAGGGAGAATGTGCAAACTCCACACAGACAGTCCCCTGAGGATGGAATCGAACCCAGGCCCCTGGCACTGTGAGGCAGCAGTGTTAACCACTGAGCCACTGTGTCGCCCCTAATGCCAGTGATCTCAAAGCTTGCAACTGCTCAAGACAGGGAAGGTGAATCTGTATCTGAGCAGGAACAAAAACAAATTGCTGGAAAAAGCTTAGCAGGTCTGGCAGCACCTGTGGAGAAAAATCAGAGTTAACGTTTCGGATCGAGTAACCCTTCCTCAGAACGGACCAGGAGAGTTTCAGCAGGCCTGGGCATTTTAAACCAAAAAACATCACAGGACAACCGTTCAAGTTTTCCAAGTCAACAGGGAAAACTTCAAAACATGCTCCCTCCACCACATTTGTGGAAATTAGGCATTAACCTGGAAATGGAGATAGGGAGAAAATTACCTTGGAAATGGAGATAGGGAGAAATAAAATAAAACATATTGAGGGGATGCAGGTGGCATGAGTGATACACCATTTAGATATGCTATCATTTTTGTCAATACATTTTCATTTGCATTATTATAATCTCTGGTGTGGTTCTACTTTTGCTAAAAAAAATCCTGGTTAAGTCAGACTGCTGTGGGTGATGTAGAGCCATTTCATAGAACCCATGGATGTGAGACATTACAATCGCCAAATACTGTTCATCTCTCACTAGGAAGTTTTTGAATGCAGATAGCCTCATGCATCGGGGGTCCTTGACCCTTAAACTTTGAGCACAACAGTCAAGACATACACATTAATGCACAGGATTCTGAGAGGCTACAAGCAATATCCAGGAAATGGATCCAGGGCCAGGCCTGTACACATCTTCTCACACTTACATATAAGATAAGTGTGGCAGTACGCAAGTAGTGACAATTCCACACATCTCAACAGAGAAATATAATTCCTGTATTTGAGCTTTTCAATGAGCGCCATGTCGTTCAAGGCTGGGAGATGTTCAATGGGCAATTAACACACCCATTGTTTCTCATAGTGCAACAGCCTGGAGAAAACGCTGCTGAAAGCACTGCTTCTCACAGGTTAAAAATTGTCATGGGTGGTGATCAAGCATATCAATGCAACATTACATTCTTTTTGCACTCCAAAACATTGAAGATATAAAAAGAAAGGAAGGGTCAAGGAAGCTTTCTCAGGATTTGGGTCAACCTGTTGGCTCTCATGAGGGACTCGACTACAGATGATACATATGTCAAGCCCTATGCTTTAGAAGTAGGGAGACTACCATTACGCTAAATAAATCCTTAAGCTCCTTTATAAAATAAGACTTATTGAGTTTACATGACAAGGAGACAATTAGTGGGCATAACGTAATGCTCATGATTAGTTGAAGCTATCATTTGTTAACTCTATTCTTTGACAATTACTGACCTCCAGCAGCATACCAGAACTTTATGAAGATCAGGGAGCAGAGGTGAGTACAGTAGCCACCACTAAGGAGAAGTTGTTGGGGAAGCTGAAAGGTCTGAAGATAGGCAAATCACGCAGACTGGATGGACTACATCCCAGGGTTCTGAAGGAGATAGCTTAGGAGATTGTAGAGGTATTGGTGGTCATCTTTCAGGAATCATTGGAGTCAGAGAGGATTCTGGGGGCTGGAAAATGGCAGATTGTTTAAGAAGGGAAATGAGATGCCAGTTAACCTGATCTCAGTCGTGGATATGATTTTAGAGTCCATTATTAAGGTTGAGATTGTTGAGTATTTGGAAGTGCAAGGCAAAATAGGGATGAGTCAGATGGCTTCGTCAAGGAAAGGTCATGCCTGACAAAATCTGTTATAATTCTTGGAGGAGGTAACAAGCAAGTTAGACAAATGAGAGCCAGTGGATGTGATCTATTTGGATTTTCAGAAGACCTTAGACAATGTGCCGCACAGGAGGCTGCTGAATAAACCAAGAGCCCACGATGTTAGGGGCAAAATACTGTCATAGATAGAGGATTGGCAGACTGACTAGTGGACCTCTGCAGAGTCAGTGTTGGGACCACAACAATCACATTGTACAACAACAATCCGGATGAAGGAACTGAGGGCACTGTTGCTACATTTGCAGATGACACAATTATAGGTGGAGAGGCAGGTTGTCATTTTGAGGAAGTAGGAAGGGTGCAGAAAGATTTGGACAAGCTAGGAGAGTGGGCAAAGAAGTGGCAGATGGAATACAATGTGGGAAAGTGTGAGGTTATGCACTTTGGAAGAATATAGGTGTAGACTATTTTCTAAATGGGGAGAGGCTTCAGAGATGTGAAGCTCTAAGGGACTTAGGGGTCCTAATTCAAGATTATCTTCAGTTTAACATGCAGGTTTAGCTGGCAGTTAGAAAGGCAAATGCAATGTTCAAATTCAGTTTGATAAGCTAGAATACAAAAGCAGCGATGTACAGTTGAGGCTGTATAAGTCTCTAGTTGGTTTGCAATTTGAATATTGTGAGCAGTTTTGGGCCCCATATCTAAGGAAGGATGCACTGCCTTGGTGGGGATCCACAGGAGGTTCACAAGAATGATCCAGAGAATGAAGAGCTTATTATATGAGGAGAGGTTATAGACTCCGGTTATGTACTCGATTGAGTTTAGAAGGATGAGGGGGGAATCACATTGAAGCTTATAGAATGCTAAGAAGGCTGCGAAGGGTGGACTGTGGAGAAGAGACACAAAAACTGCAGATGCTGGAATCCAAGGTAGACAAACAGGAGGATGAAAGAACACAGAAAGCCAGGCAGTATCTGGAGGAAAGGAGCTGTCAATGTTTCGGGTATTACCCTTCTTCTGGACTAGATGTGAGAATAGGGGGAGCTGTGGATAAAGAGGGGGCGGGGAGGGGTGGAAATGGAATGGTGGTGATAGGTGGACACTGGTAGTAGGTACGACCTGGCTGGTTGATGGGAGGAATGAATCCAGTTGGTGGCTGGAAGGGAGGGTCAGAAGGTGGAATGGAAGGGAGGAAATGCGGCTGGAAGGGGAGCCGGGGGATGGGTGGGAAGGTTATTTGAAATTGGAGTACTCAGTGTTGAGTCCTCTGGGCTGTAGGGTGCCCAGGCAGAAGGTAAGGTGTTGTTCTTCAAATTTGCATTCTGAGTCACTGCGACACTGGAAGAGGCCGAGGACGGACGTATCAGAGGGGAAGTATGGCGGGGAGTTGAATTTGGCGGTGACTGGCAGCTGGGTTGGCCATTACGGGCCAGGCGAAGATGCTCGGTGAAACAGTCACATAGTCTACGTTTGGTCTCACTGATGTACAGAAGACCACATCGGGAGCACCGGAAGTAATAGACTAGGTTGGAGGAGATGCAGGTGAAGTTCTGTCTCACTTGGAAGGACTGTTTAGGGCCCTGAATATAGGTGAGGGAGGTGGTGTGTGGGCAGGCGTTGTATCTTTTATGGTTAGAGGGGAAGGTACTGGGCGGGTTGGAGTGGTTGGTGGGGAGTGTGGCATGAACTAAGGAGTGGCAAAGAGAATGGTCCTTGCAGAAGGCAGAGAGGGGTGGGGAGTGGAAGATGTTCCTGGTGGTGGAATCTAATTGGAGTTGGCAGAAGTGTTTGAGGATGATACGTTTGATGCAGAGGCTGGTGGGGTGGAAAGTGAGGACAAGGGGAACCCTATCTTTATTATGTTTGGCGGGTGGGTGGTTAAGAGCTGCGGAGCAGGGAATGGAGGGGGCACATTGGAGGGCTGTCTGAATGACAGAGGTGGGAAAAGAGCATTGTTTGAAAAAGGTGGACATCCAGGATGCTTTGGAGTGGAACATCTTCTTATCAGAGCAGATGCGACGGAGACGGAGGAATTGGGAAAACGAAATTGAGTTTTTGCAGGATACAGGGTGGGAGGAGGTGTAGTCTAGGTAGCTATGGGAGTCTGTGGATTTATAGTAAGTGTCAGTCCGTAAACTGTCAGCAGAAATGGAAATAGAGAGGTCTAGAAAAGGGAGGGGGGTGTCTGAGATAGACCAAGTGAATTTGAGGTTGGTGTGGAAGTTGTTAGTGAAGTTCATGACCTGCTCCAGTTCAGCCTGGGTGCAGGATGCA